AAAAAAAAAAAAAAAAAAAAAAAAAAAAAAAAAAAAAAAAAAAAAAAATCAAACTAGGTACAAAGTGTCTAACCGAGCCGTGGCCCAAGTGCAAGCTCGGCATGTACTACAGGGAAAAGTGGTCGCGACTGGACGCCAAGCGGATCCGCGGACCCGCGCCACCTTTCTGCGTTCCGCTCGAGTTCGATCTAACGCGCAGGTACGTGGAAGAGTGAATCATTGATGATGCCGGGCCACGGAGCAGCGGTGGAAAAACTACCTCGGAGGGACAAAAACTTGCAGTGGAAAGCTTCGAGCAGGTGTGCTATGTATACAGACGGAGAGGGAACTCGCCTCGAGAGGTTTGTTTCGAGACGCGGATCTAAAAGTATTATAGTTGCGACTGTCGGAGCTTGCCTTTTTCGCGTTTAATTGGTTGCCGCCAGAAGCTATACCTGATTTATAGCGTTTGACGAATGGTGATTTCGTGGACAGGTACACGGAGCTACTGGTACGGCTTATTAATCAAGTTGGAGTAAATTTCACGTCACTACTGTACAACAAAGTGGTCAGTGGATGAATAATGAACGGTCCCTATGCCACGATGATCAAATGCGTTACTTTGTATTTTTGCAACGTGTTCGTAGACGAGGAAAAAGAGCTTTCGCTTTTGGCTCGAAAAGCAGGAAGTTCTCCACTGTACTGTATGTACGTGTGGTACTTGGATGGATTCCAAAGCTAACCATGAGAGAAAAAGAAGGAAAGTTCAGTGAATATTTCCTTGTAATTTTCAACTTCTATATGCTGACACTGCATTCCTTCGGCGAATTCTGGAATTAATAAAGTTTTTTCTTCTACGATTTTAAACTCAATAATTTACATTAAAAATTTTTTTTCCAAAGTGCACATAACAGTTGGTAAACTTGTCTATAAATACACGTATTACGTATACCTTTTAAATTGAATGAAAAAAAAAAAAAAAAAATCAGGCAAATAAAATTAACGGTATCAATGAACAAAAGTACCACCATATACTGTACGAATAAGCTACACCCACTCGCACCGAGTTAAGTGCATTAGGCGCCACAATGCTTGGCTCGCGTCTACTGCAGGGATCTGATAGACTAGCTGTTAATGCAACGTTCACAAATAGCTTCGTCATCCATCTTATTTAAGTATGTGCGAGAGCTATCGGTTGTGCATCGAAAATTGGATCTGAAAGATCGTTTGTATTAGGTGACGTCATCGATTCGTTCACACAAAGGATTTTTTATAGCGCTTCTGAAAAGTTCTCTCATATAAGGTGATGGATGTAAAAACTGTAGTCGGGTTATTACGGCATCGACATTTTTTTATCGCCTACAGCTACACAGTATGCATTTTTAATTAAATAAACTACAAGTGTCATTCCTATTTCGCAACAAATAGAGATTTATGTAAAGACGTTTTACTCAGTTACGATTTTGATGCTCTCCCAAGTAATATCAACAATGTTGAAGTAGTCCCTGACCCGTTCGTTCATTCTCGGTTTTAATTCTCTGTTCAATGCTCCACTAACTTTAATTAATGTTTTTGATTACGACGATAAGCCAGGATTAATTGGTTCACGGCACAATTTTGTACAATAGACCAACATGATATTCGGGGCGTGCGAGCACACGTCAACCTAAAATTACTAATTGGCAATGACATAATCTTTGATATGCAATAACAATGGTTTTTGGTGTTTGCACTTTTACTGTACATGCATGGAGAATATTTAACTAGGCAATCTCGCCATCTTGTAAATAATACATTGTCTCTGATGTTCCTCAGTAAGCGATACATGGTATAGAAACGGAGTGAGGGAGAGATAGTCCAAGGAGCGTGTCTATCTTCGCGAATCGCTCTCTCGTGTGCTTATGTACATGTGCAAACGGACGGACAGGAAGTATAACGGGACGGCGTGGCAGCAGCTTGGAAACCAGCCGTCAACCGGGCAGCGATCGTCGTGCGACTTCCGCTACCACACCGAACTCCGAGCTGGAGGGAAAGAGAAAGAGAGACGTGCATTTGCATGACGGCCACGCCACCGTGGGCTTTTAGCTTCCTCTGCTCGGTGTGCCTTATACCTTGGATGGGGTGTACCTGCTAAATATACAAATAGGCGTGGATGCACGCGTGTGCGGATACGTGAGTGGATTTTTATAACGTTACGTGTGTCCAGTTGAACTCGTACGTATATATATGCATAAGTACGTCCGGAAGGACGGGCAGAGAGATTTATCGTCAAGTGCATGATGAATTTGATTCTACGGCTCAGTCATACAACAAGAAAAGAGTTTTGTCAAGTCGTTTTTTGGAGATAAAAAAAAAAAATTTATTTAATCTTTAAAAAAAATACCGATTTAAATTTTTTCAAACTAAAAAAAAAAAGGTATTTAATTGTTGTATATTCAAAGAATTTTGCACCCACAGTCAACAGAAATTTACTTATCATTATCATGCACCACGTACGATAAATACATTGTGTGTGTAACAATTAATATAATATACGTACTTTGAACAATAGTATCAGACTCAACTACTAGGTGGCATGGAGTCAAAAAAGTTCAACACGCAAGGGGCGAAAATTGACGTCGGTTAGTATATAAGAGAGAAGTAACGAGAACGAATTAATGGTACTCTGAGGCGACGACTCACTCGGCTCTTGTGTTCTACAGGTATGAGGGAGTTTAACCCAATAACCCAATTTAATATCTATGTGGTTCCCTTAGTCACTTGGGGTTTCCATCGCAAAGCCGATAAAAACCAGGAAGTGGCGGATGTTGCGACGATGTACCAATTTTTTTTTTTTGTTTAGAAAAACATGCCTTCAAATTTTACGTCTTCGTTTTTTTTTTTTTTTTTTTTTTGAACCAAGAAATGGTTAATACGTTAAAGATAAAAACTTAATTATAATAGTATTTGTGGTATCTCCTGTTGAAAAATTTTATTTTTTGGAAATATACAAGCATAACAACTTCTATTAATACTTTGTCCTAAAATTTCATTATCAGCATTTTAAATTACAAAAAAAAAAAATATACCCAATTAATTTTTAATTCTAAAAAGATCCTCTGTTAATGCTATATAGAAAAAGATAATGTTGATTCTTCATGAAAATAAGTGTAATATCGTGTTATGGTTGAGAAAAATTTTCTTATAAAATTTTTTGAAAAACAGCTGTTGTAATATTGTAATTGGTTGATTTCAAAATTTTTTTTTACACTCGAAAAACTCCCTCTGACCCTACACAAAATAAATTAGTTTTTATGATTATGTTATTAAAAATATTTCATTGTGTACATTACTTTATATGTATCAAGTCTCTTAAACAAATAAAACAATAAATTCCAAGCTATCGTCTTGTCTAAAAAGCAACAGCATTTTAAAAGTGCAACCAATAATGAACTAAAGAAACCAATGTTTTGGAGCAAACGAAAGTTAGGTGAAAAAAATCTGCACAAAGATAACAACTGATAATTTTCCATAAATCAAACAATGATAATATCACTACTCGATTCCCACAAAAACGTACACTCGAGTGCAATAAGGTTCGCTCGTTGTGACAATCGCCATTTGCATGAGCTTGGCTCTGATCTATTGTCGAGAGTCCAAGTACGACTGCCATGGGATATATTCTTTTAAATCTTCGGATTAAGCCCACGACAAAGCCGACTCGAGTTACTTATCCCCCTTCCAACATAACAGCTCTGCCGTGCCCAACCATGATACAGGCGTGTATTTTTCAAATTATCTCTACAGAGACAATAAAAATAAAGTACAGAAAATACGATTGCCCATAGGTCTCGGAGATCGAATGTCCGCTGGGATGGTGCACACATGAGCGTATCTATGTGTGCGCAATACTACAAAAGACACGAGGAAAGAGATAGACGCCAGGGGTCATCGGGAACTCGCGGCTACGGCCAAGCAGAGGTGCATATAGGTAGTTCCATCGGCTCAGCTGTTTTTTTCTTAAATTTTTTTTTTTTTTCATACGAGTCCGCGTGCAACGCAAGGCACGATATCCTCTTCCTCAGGTTATTGGGTATTACCTTTTACCTCTCTCTCCACCCATCTTCTTCTTTTTTTCTCGTTCCCTGTTATCTTCTTCCCTTTTGAGTATATTGAAAGATAATAATCTCGCTCTAATGAGGCTCGAAGATCGACGACGATATTGACGATTTTACTTTTGCTGCTTTTGCTTTGTTTTAAAAATATTTTCAACGAGGGAACATTCTGTGACGGAATTCGTTCGATATTTTTCACCGCAAGCGCATCATAAATTCCATCTGTTTGGTACATAAGTTGTGATTCATGGGTTGGGCTTATTACGCGAAGATACATCAATATTATTATCCGATCGGCTCCTACGGTAGAGTGTTACGTTCGACGCGGTGGTATCTGATCTCTGACACGTGAGTTATTGCAAAATCAATACTTTCGATTGTGCGCAC